ATAGAAGGTTAGTAGGTAGTTGAGTGTTTTGCTTTCTCATTCCCGGAGTATTCACATTAGTCTTGTATTTTCGTATGCTTAGATTTCTATCTCTATTAGTTGATTCATTAGCCTCGAATCTCGATTATTGTATTTTCTTGTTGTTGTTCCTGCTTATTGCTAGTGTCGTTTTTTTCATCTCTTTTGTGCCGAGGGTCTATCGGATTCAGCTTCTCTACCTTCTCAAGGTAGGGGTAAGGTTTGGTGTTGTTGTTGGCCTTTTCTGAGACTACTCTTTAAAGTATGTTCCCCTTAGTCCAGTGGGCTAAAATTCGCCTTCAAACATAGTTGGATGAATTTTCCTTTCAGCAGACAAATTCAGCCCAGTAAGCTAATGTGGACAAAGTTTAAACAGTGGCCTCAAAAGAAGCAACAATAACATATCTAGCGTAATCCCATGAGTGAGATCTGGGGAGAGTAGAGTGTACGCAGATCTTATCCCTACCTTAAAAGGTAGACAGGTGGCCTCAAAAAAAGCGATTTGTGCAAACGCCGAAAATTCTTTCAGCAGAATGGTGCATATTTAATAACTTTAAAAATCAGATCCTGATGCAATGCAATACCTTTTTCCTGGTTATGTATGCAGGTAACTTGGTGAAAAATGGTGGATTTGAAGCTGGTCCGCATGTATTCAAGAACTTCTCGACAGGGGTGCTCGTCCTGCCTCTGAAACAAGACAAGTACTCACCAATTCCGGGATGGATGGTTCAGTTTGCAAAACCAGCAAAATATATCGACTCGAAGCATTTCTTAGTACCTTCAGGAAATGCAGCTATTGAATTAATAGGAGGAAGGGAAACAGGCATTGCACAGATAGTAAGGACAGTCCCCAAACAATTCTACAACCTGACTTTCATCATTGGCGATGCAAACAATGACTGCCACGGAACAATGACAGTCCAAGCATTCGCTGGCAAGGCCAGTACACAAGTTTCATTTGTATCAAGTGGAAAGGGATGGTACAAGACAGCAAGCCTCAAGTTCCGAGCAGATAAAACTAGGACAACAATAGCTTTTTATAATCCATTCTATCACACGAAGGTACACGACTTTGGTCACATGTGTGGACCTGTCATCGATGATGTTAGTCTCGTTCATGTCGCGAAGTGAGCATACTCAGAAAAGGTCAATTTCAAGATAAGTTCTGTACCATTGTTTTTATGTTTGTTTAAGTTGTTCAGTCCGAAACAAGAATGATATATCCAATAAAAGTAGTAAAATCCCTTCATTATTTCCTTCTTGAAGTCACAAAGTGCCTAATCATGTATTTTCTTGGTTCCAAATCCGACTATATGATGAAGAAGCGGAGATTCATATAGCCAACCCCAATTTGTTTGGGACTGAGGGTGTAGTTGTAGTTGTAGTAAATTGGTCTTTGATGATAATCAATTTGAAGATAATATTATGACAGTTAAACCAACAACAACAACATACCCAGCATAATCCAACAAGTGAGATGATTACATAGACCTTACCCCTATCTTTGTGAGGTAGAGATGTTGTTTCCGCTAGACCCTCGACTCAAAAGAAGTGTAATCAGAACGATCGCAAAAAGCAAGCAGCCTATGGTTGGCTGCATGAAATGTTACACATTTTACACACAAGCTACCAAGCTCTCTTAGCAATGTTCTGTTTAAAGCATAACACTACAATTCTTTTGAAGCAATTTGAAGTTACATCAGAAATATAGCTTATTTTACCATAAAACAAAGTACGTAGCACAATCAAGACTGTGAAACAAGCAGATGGGAAGAAGAAGTAAAAAACTG